AATACAGAGGCGATGGTTGCAGATCCCTTAACTAAGGGACTCGTTCCAAAAGTGTTTAAGACACATGTTACTAATATGGGTATTGTGGAAATATTTGATGTTTTTGGTTAGTGGGAGTTATTTATGTAAAGAACTACATTTTGGGCTTGATCCCGTTGCGGGGTACGTAGGCAACCCATATGTTTTCGGGTACAACCCTTTCTGATAATAAAACAAATTTTCCCCTATCCATGAACTATTTTAAGCATGCATTTGACTTATATCTTTTTATATTATTGGCATCTTGAAATATAACGTATAAAGACATAAGATGAGTCTCTTTTAGAGACATTTTGCTTCATTTTGATTTGAACCATTATGAGGACCGATATGAGTTAGCACAATTTTTTTATCACATTTGGTGCTAAGTTCATACCACATATTACCACATTGGTTGGAGGATGGGGATCCATGTCGATAAGGATGTTGAGATTTGTAACTGTGGAATGGTCTTACATCTCTAAAATTGGTGTAATGACTTCGATGTTCGGTGTTAATATTCTTGTTGGACCCGATCATGTTACGTAAGGTGTCATTATTGGAGCTATACTGTTGTGGCCACCTATGTAGTCTAACCCGAGTGTTAAAACTTTGTTATGGCAATCAAATGTTTGCCCAAGTGGGAGAATGTTGAAATAATTAATAATTCCATATGTGGGCTTCACATTCGATTGTAAAATTTTACGGGTTAGATATATGGCTCATAATGATATTGTGTTTGGGCCAAATTTATTAAGTGATCAATTGGACCTTTTTACACGTTATGGGTTGTAAATAATTTGATGTGGTAATTTAAAGTATGTGGGCCAGAAATAAACCCTAATTAGAATTTTAGTCGTAATGGGACAACTCAAATTATTTCCTATATATAGGCTAGGTCCCCTCTCCTCTCCATTTATTTTATTGGCTTGCCCCATTGATAGTTAATACTTTTGTGAGAAGCAAGGAGGAGAAGATCTTGACTGCTATTACAACAATTATTCATATCAACAATGGCTTCCGCAAGTATGAATTCGTTTTATTAATTTATTATGTGGTGATTCTTGATTCTTGGCATGATTACAAATAAATATTAACATTGAGTCCATTTAAAAATACAATTATTTGGAGCTTCAATATTAAGTTGTCTACTGATGACAAATACTTACTTATGGTAGGTAGTGATCCTCGACATGTGGCAATTTAAGATGACGGATCAGTAAGTAAATTTTTAATAGAAAAAAAAATTGTCAATGATTAATTTTATTTATAAAAATGGTTCTTTATTTTCAAAATTTGATTATGTTGATTTAAATTGGGTCAGGAAACAATTATTTTCTTAAAAAAAAATAATAATAATAAGGACGGAAGAAAAGTATGTGAATGTGAGAAAACTCAGATCTACACGAATCCACGTTTTTACTCCAAAATGGAAGGCAACTGGATTTTTCTAAAATATGTTTAGAAAAAAAAAAAACCATTTTTCATTGGATTCGAATGGAAGATGAGATGCTTCTCAACATGTTCTAGACTACTAAATTCTTAGAGGAGGTCCTGTATGAGAAATTCCCTTGTTAATTGGTTGACATTTGCACATTTGAATTCACAATAATAATAATGTCCACTAAGCAAGGGCATTAATTAAGTCTCTTGGATATGCAAATAAGAGAATGGGATAAATTGGACATAATAAATATAGAGTTTTGTAGATAATTTATTTTTTTATTTTTTGTAATAACTAGTAAGAGTTGAACGTGTATTGCACGTTATTTTCAAATATTTTATATGTGTTGTAAAATTAATTTTTTATACTAATTTATTGGGAGGATTTGATGAGCCTCAAATGAACTAAAAATTAATAATAATAATAATTATAGGATAGAAATTTAAGACAATAAAACTTTACTCTCAAAACTAAATTTTTATAATTCAAATTTTTTGTGATGGTGAAATACTAGAAACAAATAACATTTTTATGATATATTTGATATATAAGAATTAAAAGCTAATACGTTAATTTAAACACCCATTAAAATTTATAGATAAATGAATAGAAATAAATTCATCTATAATAACTCTAGATTCATGTAGATCAAGAGTTATCAAATCAAGATTTATTGAGTCTAGATTAATGTGAATGCTAAATTAATTGAGAATTAATAACATGAATTTCATATATGACAATGATTTTTTTAGTATTTATTATATATTCAAAAAGGAAAAATAAGATATTATTAAAATAATTATATTATAGTAAAATTAAAATCGTCCAAAAAGTGATTCTCACTTAACGTAATATATAATAAATTATAGATGTTTAGCACATTAGAGTCCCCCATCAAACATGCTATAGCTAGATATGACTCGATGGAATTCTCTTCATTCTACTTATTTAATAAATACAATTTGATAAATCATTAAACCAAAAAAAAAAATAAATTAATAACAATATTGTGTAGCACTAGGGCTTAGTGGTGATCAACCGTGGTTTATATAACAATTAGATATCATTGTCACATTGTCTGATATATCTTATCTTTGTAGTCGTTATTGCTTTTGATTTGATTATATTTAAGTTATCATTATTGTTTTTGATTTGATTTGATTTACACTTTTAAGTCAATAACTAAAAATCCTAAACTGAGCCGGAAACAATCGTGTTTTACCAACAAGTAGTAAATTGCGATTAAGAGGGACTTCATGTCCTCAAATTCACTACAACCACGGCCTCAGATGCAATTTGAAGCCACTGATCACTCACTCAAATATTGAACAATTGGTCTCTCAATTTTTAAATTTAATCCAATTTACTCCTTTAACTTTTAACATTGTTCATTTCAGCCTCTGAACTTCTAATGTGATCCAAATTGGTCCTCCAACCATTGATTTCTTCAGTTTTGTTCCTTAAGTTCTGATAATATTCAAGTTGACCCAGTGTTCTTATTTCATACACTTTTGATCCCCACAAGACTTTCCAAATGCCGAATATGATTCTCAAAACTTGTAAATTTATAAAATTAACTACTCAAAGCTCTCTATCAAGTCCTCAACTTCCCAGTGGTTAAGCTCTAAACCTATCCGTTTTGCGTGATTCATTTTCAAGTTAGGGTTTTTAACTAAAAAAAAAAAAAAAAGGCGGTATCCATATACTCACTCACATGGGGTGAGGCCACTCCCTAATGTACAAAAATTTATGTACAAGTAAGTTTATCCAAAAAAAAAAAAAATAATATTAAAATAAATAAGAAGAATTTAATCAAAATAACATTTAAGTAACTTTAAGAGACTAGATAAATGTGTGAAATACTCTTACGAGTTATATTATACAATCAATATATTCAAACACCTTCTAGTTTGTGCCAGACTAGATAAACACCTAATAAAAAATTACTCTTAAAATGTGGACGTGTGCATCTATTTATTGGTAGTTTAGATGGGATCCATACAACAATTTATTTGCTACTACATTTACAATAGTTAAAATGATGCTAACCAGATGTGAAAGTTCAATATTCATTATTGCAAATACACGAGATTACACTTGGAACTTCGAAGGGGTCCATTTATTTGAATATAATGACTAGAAGTTACTTTATTTCTCTTCCCACAAGAGAATAAAGGACGAAACTAAAGGTACGTCAAGCATGTATCCATGCTTGTATTATTCCACACAACATTTTTAAATAAAGTAAAGTAAGGAGTAATTGTTAATTTACAAACATCGTTGCATTTTGGCCTTTTCGCAGGGCTGTGTCGTTTTTTTTTATGCTTTGACATCCTGTAGCCATGGAGTCCTATGACTTGTTCAGGAAATCCTTCCACCACATAACTGATTTTTTAGGGCGTCTTTCCAAATCATCCCTGAAGTCTACATGATAAACTCCAAATCTAACATTGTACCCACTGTCCCATTCAAAATTATCAAAAAAAGACCATATGAAGTAACCTGTCAAATTTACACCATCTCTGAAAACAAAAGAATAGTCGATTAATTTCAAAATTTACAATTTTTCTTTGAATTTAACTGCAGTAAATGGAAAAGAAAATGATGACTTACTCTATTGCCTTGCTAATATTTTCAATATGGCCCTTGAAATAGTTAACCCTTATTTCATCATTAAGATCCTCTGAAATTGTTAGTTCATCGTTTCTCGATAGACTCAGCCCTACAAGAGGTTATAGAAGAATTCAACAAATCACTAAATGCACTGAAAATTTAGTATTTGTAATGTATATTCTTGCTATATATATAAATAAATACGATTGTGTACCATTCTCTGTAATGATAATCTCAGGATTATTATATTTTTCCTTTATATGAACCATGATCTGGTATATTCCATCTGGAACTATGTACAACCAATCCGAACCACCCTGACATAAAGTAAAAAGAATTTGTAATTACATTGGATTATACATAGCATCAGAAATTATGTAAGCCATTATATCTATTTTAGTTCATTGTGCCCGTATATTAGGAGTTTCTGACACGATCATGTTTCACCAAAAATTGCTGATATACCCAAATTGTTAGAATAATCCATTCCATTTTCTATATTATTTTTCTCAGGGAGGGTACTGTTGATGACTCACCCGATCACCGATCGGCTTGCCACCGCGACTATCTAAACGAATGAGAAGTAAACATCTTGTTAGAAGTAGTGTCCATTTTTTGTCAAGGTAAGAGATTACAACCGAACTCGAGAAAAAGTCTCAGTACTTACTCTCCGCTTTAAAACGCAAATCATTTTCATAATGTACTTCTGAATCCTGTGGTCTTGCATCCTGTGGAGATATATTCCGGGCATAACGAGCCGTGTAATAATTTATGCCTAAGAAATCACAGGAATCTTTCACTAGCGCCTTCTCGTCTGGTTTAAATTCAGGAAGACGTTCTCCTACATTTTTTCTCATGGAGGGTGGATAATCACCTGTCATTACAGGGTCTACAAACCTGAACAGGAGAAATGTTTTAAAATTAGAATTATTATTGACATACTACCTGAACCTGTACAAAAATATATCTCATGTATTCTCTAAAAAAGGCACATAGTTTATACAATATACAAACAACAAAAATGCACAATTACCATCCTAACAAAAAATCGAGTGCTCTCAATGCAGCCTCCTTATCCTCTTGTTTGTTTTCGTCAAATGCATAATACCACAATGTAACGTTTGTCATCCCTATTTTGCCTTGTTGGTGTTCCTGTATGTACAGATGTATATTATATTTGTAAAATCTCAAAAGTGTGTATTTACCTATTTATTTTTGTACGTGTGTGAAATGTTAAAATAAAAACCTGATAATATTTCCGGTATATATTAACCGCATGTGCATGAGCAAGGATCAAATTGTGTGCCACTATATATGGTTCTTTTCCCGGATCTCCGTCCGAGTTAATATAGAAAGTGTATTGTTGCTGAGAAGATACTTTGACTGGATCTACTTTCGAGGAAGTAAATTGACGCATTTCGGGATCCGCAGAAGATATTCTGACCGAATCTCTTTTCGAGGAAGTAGGGCTAGGCGAATTATCTTCCTGAGAAACTGAATCTCCTTCGGAGGAAGGCGAAGAGGGAGCATCATCTTTAGAGTTTGTAACGTTATCACAATTGTATGCCTCAGCAACTAGTTCTCTAGCTGCTTTTCCTTCAGGGGAATCATCGTTTTCCGAATTGTATGCTCTTTGAACTGCTTCTTTGATCCCATCTCCTTCAGAATAAGGAAGCTGAGGAACAATGATTTTACTTCTATGATCATTGGCCGAGTCACGAACTGTTTGTTCAACCGATTTTTGAGTAGTCGACTTTGCATCAAGAGGATAACCTCGAAGAGGGGGAAACCTTTTCCGCACATATCCACAAATAGTAAATGACCACGGCTCATTGTGTGTGATCCAATATTTCACTCGATCACCAAATTCCCAAAAGCATATTTCAGCAAACTCACAAAAATGTTCCCTATAAACAAGTTAAATATCAACATATATGTCTGTAATATACCCATAGATGGTAAAAAAATATTCACCTATGACATTTATCTTTGTACAAGAGATCAATCTGCTTATTATTATCCATTTTCTTCTACGAAAAGATTTCTGCTTTTTCCTTCTACACATAGTTTTTGAGAAAATAACTTTGCTTAATTCATCTGTTAAACATCTAGCACACGATGTTCCATGTGATGCAAGATCGATTACTTACACAATTTGATGATCTTTGAAGCCGCCATATTCATCTTCCAATTTTTGGGGAACGTCCCAATGGAAGAGAGTTGCACAAGGCTCAATGCCTACACAAAAGTAATGAAGAGAAATCAAGGAACATAATATCTTTAAGTTTTATATTTTAATTTATAAGAAAAGAAATGATTTCAAAGGCATATCAATTTGAACTTCCAATTATGTACGAATTAAATAAAAATAAAAAAATCAGTTGCTTAAAGAAACAATAAACATGTGAAAACAAAGAAGTCTAACCTCCTTCCAAAAGAGCGTCTATAAGATCATTATAGAATTGGATTCCTTGTTTGCTTATGCCAGCACATAGTTTACCATCTAAAATATCAATATAAATTTATACACATTAAAATAAAATCAAGGAACAAAATTGATGAGGCTTTCGAGTCCATTTAAAATCCCTAGTCAAACTTGTCAATGTAGACAATAAACTCTATACTATCTAGAATTTTGTCCACTTTGCCTAGGCCTCTATAGTCATTTTAAAAATTTTAAGCAGGAAATATCACTATAGCTTAAAAATTAAATAATGCATAAACAATACATCGTTGACGTTTCATTACTGAAAATTAAAAAAAAAAATTCTGTTTTCTGAATTCATTTAAACACAATCCCATACCTGGTAATATTCTGGACCATGAAATAGAAAATCTATAAGAATTTAAACCAACTTCCTTCATCAGAGCCACATCTTCCTGCATCATTATTGACAGTGAGTACAATATACATTCAAATACATTATTCTTGGTGGCTTAAATTAGAGAACAATTAATTATAATTGATTTTTTTTTTAATTTTTTCAAAATTAAACTTTTGACTTCAAGCGCCAACAAAGTATCAACTCATTTTGAATGCTATGTTCCAGATAATAGTCGTATTTGAACAATGGCAACGAGCACTGTTTTTTCATTAATGGATCAAAAGAGTTATTTAATACATTTACAGTTGTTAGTTCAATTCATTTTTCACTTACTTAAATATTGTAAATAGATGAGTAAGAAAGGAAATCTGGTGGACTGGTGGTAGGTTTTCTTAGAAATGATGAGTTTTTACTTTTTATTTCGATACCAATTAGTAGAAATGTGGTAAAATTGTTAAAGTTCGTATAAATTTAGAGCTTAGTAAAATATGAGGGATTAGACGAGCCTCACTTAATGCTTGAACTGATATGGAATTTTGATACGGTAATATAAATGAATTAACATCACTATCTGCTAAAAATTAAATAGCTCACTGCATTTACCTTGAACATGTTATAGTGATCGATTGCCACGCGTCCACTTGAACGATCCTTAATGCTTTCTGCCAATCCAATTAATAAAAAAATAAGTGTATATATATACACACACACACACACACACGCAGACATCTTGAATTAGAAGGGCACAATTAAATCTTGTACATATCGAATACTTTATACTTGATTTTTTAATGATTCATACTTGACTCGAAAAATGAATACTTACGTTCAAAAAACATCTTTTCATTATTATTTTGGTCATCATTTTCATCCATTTCATTTTGAAAGGTCCTTTTATTAGTATTTTGCTCATCACAAGAGAATGTATATTTACGTTTAAAAACTTTATAGTGTATTTGAAATTTTGATACAAACAACCAATTAAAATGATCAATTCAAGTAATTGAAAAGAAAAAAAAATATAACAAATATTCAATAATAATAATCAATCAAAAAAACGCAATTCGTTAAATACAAGTCAAATTGGACATAATCATTTCAGACTCATTCTATATATACAATTTGATAGTAAAAATCTATATTTAGGTTCTAATTAGTTGAAAATTTGATTGGGAAATGAAAATTTGTAATAGAGGTGATAATCTGTAGAAAAATTATAGATAAAATTTTAAAAATTAGAAGAGTTAAAGGTTTTATAAAAGGTGTGAGAGAGAGTAGTGAGAGAAAGATAAAAGAAAAAAGTTCAAATCTATTGTGGATTTTTAGTAAATTTTGATAAAAGTTAAAAAGCAAAAAATAAAAAATAAAAAATCCCAAAAGTGATCCCGAAGGAACTCGTGTCCGCCACTGCATGTAAATGTGCCTGTGTAAATTAATACGTGCTTGTGTCCATTATTATGATTTGGGATTTTATCCAAAAATGAAAAATTTGGTAAAAAGATTGTCACAAGCATTCTTTTGTTTATTGATATATTTATCTGATAAGAGATTATATATTTAACATGCCTATGCAGGATAATGACTCATTAAAGAACATCAAATCTTGAATCCGAACGCTTATTTGAGAGTTTGAGATGGATCAAGTTACTTGTTTGATCTTGTTGGATGATGATAAGATATTTAGAATAAAGATTTTATCTCAAATGGACAACCATATATATAGGAGTAGCTGAGCCATTTTATGTTTATATTTTATATTTACTGATATTAAACACACAAGACTAGAAAGAGAGAGAGATTGAAGATACTAGGATAATTGCGTGTCATATAATCCCAATTATTCCAGCCTTTACCACCTGCATTCCAAGCACCTTCTACCTGAAATTTATTATACATCCACAAATTAAGAATCAACAAAGTTAAGTTACACGTGACGGACCTTCTAACATATACACTCCCACATGATGATTTTAGCAAATCTTCATTATTCTAAACAATAATGGATTGTTTTATAAGGTGCATTTAATAGTATTTCACAATATTAACGAATAGTTCAGTTTGACTATTTTTCTGTCCAAATCTGCCTGATACAACATGCTAAAATACACCAATTACTCACTTGATATGCCAGTGTTATAGGACCGAAGATAAACTCGAAAAATTAGTTACAAACCTGATATGCCGATGTTGCACCACCGAAAATAAATTTCTCGTGGAAACTAGAGCGTTTGAGCTCGGTTTGGGATGAAGCCATTTGAATGAGCGGGATGAGATATTATAGTTAGTTGGGAGAGGTGTGTGGTTCCTCTTGTCCATGCACTCTATTTATAGACTATGGGTTTCAAATACTTGTATCATACTATTAGACAACAAGCATAAAGTAAGTATAATATATTGGGAAAGGTATCAATACTTTCCTTTATTCTACTTAAAGCAAAGGCAAGTACATGAACAAAATATATGTATACTTTTAAGTAATTCTTTACTTCCTTCTCATTACATCTCAAGACTTTTCTTTGATTCTGCACCTTTAAGTCATTCTTTTCTTCATTCTCATTAAATCTCAAGACCTTTCTTTGATTATCCACATTATACCTCTTGAGTTAATTACGATTTTTGTTTCTAGGTATTTTTCTATTTGGGTTACTATTAGTAAGAATAACTCTTTTTGTAAGGGACAAAATAAAAAACTTAATTATGGAACAACTTTTTATCAATTTAATTGGCAGCACAAAGGGGTAACAATCAAAGTCAAATTGCTGAGATGTTTCGATACGTAATTATGGAATTAAACGTGCAATTTCACTCATTCAGTGGAGCAGTTTTCGAAATTAATATTCAAGCCCGAGTTTAAATAAGATGATTAGGAGCTTGAATTGTGTTAATTCATTGACTTCGATGTAGCCACACTATTGGGTTGATAGACGGATGAGTTTCACAATAAGACGACAAACCTCATTGGATATAATTAATTCATTAGACTTTAACTGTTTTAATTTGATTTTTATTCAAACCGTGTGATCTTATTCCTCATGTTTAGATTATGTTTGTACTTTAAGGTGATTTCAATCTCCGTAATCTTATTTCTTTAGATTTGCGGGTAAATACTTACTCTTAACTCCAATCAATACACTGACACGAGGACAAACCAATCTGTTAGTAAAAATAGGGGAGACATTCCAGGTATACCAAGGGTATTGTAATTTCAACATCGTCAAGGATAAATCAGTGTACAATGAAATCCTTTGACAATCCGCCATGAAGCAGGCAAATATAATCGTCTTCCTCCATCAATTGCATATGAGGTATTCCATGAATAAAGGTGAAATGTTCTTAAAGTATAATCAAAGGAACATGCTTATGAACCATAAAAATAATAAAAAATGAGACATGAAAGCTTTTCCATTAGCTCAGAAGACGCGAGTAAAGCTTTAAAAATTGGCAAGGAATTGAGGGAACATATAACAGGATTTTTAAAAAACATCCTAGTTGCAAAGCTAGGTATATTTGCTTGGAAACATGCTGACATTATGAGGATAGATCCTAAAGTCGCTTCCATACAAAAATCAAGCCTAAGATGCGAAGGTGAATAAACTATTAGAAAATGCTTTTATTCGCAAAGCTTAATATCCAGTGTGGGTATGTAATTCAATTCTAGTACCAAAGAGCAATGGAAAATAGAGAATGTGTCAAATTTTAAAGTTTTCCTAAAGAAAGCTCTCCTCTCCCCAGAATTGATCGGCTAGTAGATGCCACTGCGGGACACGAACTGGTATTGACCTGACAAGGAATATACCACATTTGTAATATATTAGGGACTATACTATTTAATATAATGTCATTTGAACTAAAAACTATTGGGTCTATATGATCAGAGAAAAAAAATGTTCCTAGATTGGATAGAAAAATGGTGGAAATATACATTGATGACATACATGTTAAAAACCTTCAGGTTTTAGACTATTTAAAACATCTAGAAGAGGCTTTCAACATATTACAAGAATAAAGGATGAAACCTTATCCGTTGAAATGCTCCTTTGGAGTTCTGATAAAGTTCCACACTTACATGGTCAATCAGTGAGGTATAGAAGCGAACCCTGACAAAATTCAGGCCCTCATAAAAATACGTCCCCCTCTAAATCAAAGGAGGTACAAAACCTAAAGGGAAGGGTCATCACCCTAGGATATTTTGTATTACTTTTGATAAATTGTTGCCTAACCTCATGTATTTATTGTTTTTTAGAGACAATTATATGATTTGAAGTGAATTTGAAAGAAAGAACGAAATATAGGTGAAAATGGATAAAATTCAAGGTTCGGGGGATCAAATTGCAATTATCTAGTAGTTAATTCAGATCACAAAGCGATAATTGGAGATAGTAAGAAGTTAAAAAGGAATGAAATATAATCAAAGAATCTTCACAAATCAATTTCTAACTACATAAGGCACGTTCCAGATTTTGAGCCAGAGTTTAAGACTCATTTTTGGAATAGTAAAAGTTCGAATTAGAAAAATTCTTTTTCTATAAGAATTATAGCCCTTTGAGTTAGCCTTCCAACACATTATAAATTACCTTAATCGGATATCGGGAGATAAGGTTAAATCCAAAATATTGATGACTAAGCAGAGACATAATCATTCGTGCGCAAAAGGCAACTTTTCATATGTGATCTCAACTCTTTTGGAAGCCAATTTGGATGTGGCTTTTGACCTAATTTTGCCATGTAGAATACATAACATAAGCATCCATTAAAGTATCTCTCTCTTACCTCTCAAATTACATCCAGATCATAAAATCATTTAAGAACGATGAGTAAATTCAATATAAGTTGGAGAGTAGAACAAGTCTAGTAAGAAATTGAAGACACATAAAAAACTTGAAGAATCAAATTTTGAGGTTGATAATTAAGAAAAAGAATTGGACCGTGACAATAATTTTTTTTCTTTTTTTTTTTCATATTTATAAATTTCAGGTGATGTTCTTCCATTCTTCTTGTTGTTTTATCATTAGAAACATAATTAGCTAGA